AAGATATTGAGCTCATTTGAAAATTATTTTGTGATATTGCTGTTGAACTGAATTCTACGGTTTAAGCGCGAAGAACATGATAGTTAATAAATAAAGGTAACACAAAAAAGTTAAAAAACACCCCTTTGGACGTAATTTAAAATCTGAAATCTTTCAAATTTTTTGGGGGGGCGCAGTGTACATCATGTCCAGTTATAACTCAATAAATTATTACCAAGTACTTTGTCAAATTCTGTTAACTCTGGTTCCTAAACGGTCGATGTGGTGCCTAAACGTATAAGAATTTTCTTTTTCCGTTCTCCCAAATTTGAGAAACAGACGGTCCCTGACTAATGACCCAGCAGACGACAATTTTCAACCATGTTCCCGACAACTGCTAAATAATTTTCTTGTCTCTTTTTTCCGAGCAATTCGAATCATAATAATGCTTAAAATGGATGCATCTGGCTCGTTCAGAAGAGAAAAAAATTCCCTTAAGCATAAAAGAGACAAAATTTTTAATCCAATCAAATTACAGGCTTCGAGCCCATTATCAAATTCGTGTCCGATTCGATCCCCGCAAAATCAAATTACAAATTTGAGAAGAGATTTTTTTTTTCTCTTTTCGAAAAAGAACATAATCTTAATAATGAGATCTCTTTTGGCAGGAAAAATGGGCTTTATTGGATAGGGCTATTAACTTTGAACTTATTTATTTTTGGTACCGTAGAGTTCTTATTTTATCTTTTTTTGTTGTTATTAATACCTTTAAGCTCCTTAGGATCAGGCATGCGTGCCAAGTAATGGATTTCAAGAGATTTCTAAGCGGTTCTTTTTAGCTCAAAACGCCATTTTTCCTCTCTAATGAATTGAAATTATTTTCATAATACCTCTTTAGAAAAATATATCAGTTAAAAAGATGACAAAATTCCTTCTTTCACAACATACAGCTATGAGAGCGTAATTTGCAAAAGACGATTATTTTTATAGTGTTATGTACCGATTAATAATATATTTTCCGAAAATTTCTGTAAATTTTTATATTTTAATCGAACTTAGTTTATATTAAGCAGTTTCAAAATATATAACAGCCGCGTTAAAAGGGTTAAAATATCCTCTTTGATTATTTTAATTAGTTGAATATTTTAATCTTGTTACCTGTTACAGAAAATTATCTAAATATACAGTTCTTTTCGAGTAAAGAAAGTAGTTCTATAAGGTATTTTCTCCCTTCTTCCAGCATGCTTTCATAGTGTAACGGTAGAACATTTGGCGTGTATTTCAAGAGGTCCAGGTTCGAGTCCCGGCTAGCGCATTGCACATTTGCACGTCTCCTGCTTCAAAATAACCTAATGTCTCTACAGTGGCGCCTGAACTAAACGGTGGTGGGCAATAATTCGTCACCATCAGGATTTGGTGACTAGGTCCCCTGATCCTCATTCGCCCTTGAAAAGGGGATGTATAAAAGAAAAGGGGATGTATGATATTTCCCCTTTCTTTCAGCATATATTCGTGGTGTAACGGTAGCACACTCGGTGCGTATTCCAGAGGTCCATGTTCGAGTCTCGAAGAGGGCTTTAAACATTTTTCACGTCTCCTGCTTTAAAAGAACCTAATGTCTCAATGGCGCCTGAACTAAAAGCTAGTGGACAAAATAATTCGTCACCTCCAGGATTTGGTGATTGGGTCCCTAATCACCAGTTGCCCTTTAAAAGGGAGTATAAAAGGTATTTTCTCCCTCATTCCAGCATGCCTTCCTGGTGTAACGGTAACACACGCAGCGGGTATGCGAGAGATCTAGGGTTCGAGCCTCAAAGAGGGTACTGCACATTCGTTACTTATCCTGCTTCAAAAAAACCTAATGACTCTACAATTCTAATTCGAAAAAGGATGCTGATCATTTCTTTTCTATTCTTCCTGCCAATAACATAGGCTCGTCTTGCTGCTGAAATTGCAACTTGCTTGAGATACGGCGTGCTGCTGAAACTCTTACGAGTCGATTTTTTTTATCAACAAGTCATTCAACATTTAGCAAACTTCAGTTACGCCATTTTGTAGTTTTAACCACGAACTTAAAGTAAATTTAAGTCCTAAAATGGTAATGTAAAATAAAAGGAAGCGAGTTTTACATTGATTCTTGTGAATGATCTTCCGTGAATAATCACCTATACGTATATCAAAAATTTGTCAGTGAATTTCAAAACGCATTAGCGACATTTTACTTAATTAAATACACTGCATTACGATTTTCTTAATTAAATACATTTCATTACAATTTACTTAATTAAATACATTACGTATTAATTAAATACATTACTTTACCGTTATTCATTACTCATTACATAATTACTTTAACATTAATTAACACTTAATTAATAACAAACTTTACATTTAAAATAATTATCATTGAAGTGTTAACAAATTAACACTTCAATGATAACAAATTAACACTTGCGAAACATTTCTAAACCTGCACTGTAATATATGGTAATGAAATGACTGTATGTTTAGCCAGAAAAGAAACCAAAATCCTACAGATCTTATGGAATCCTATCTACTATAGTGCGAGTAATAAAAGAATGCATTAATAATAACTTTTTGACCCAGGCAAGGAGATTAACTGCCCATAGACGAATTGCTGTCGCAGCTTTTCAGTTGGACACAGGGCATTTTTGCCTTGATTCAGGATAAAGCCATTTTAATTGCCAACAATTCTCCTTAATAATCTGAATTTCTTGGTTTTAAAGTAAACGTTTCATAATCAATTTTAATGCCGTGGAAAAATACAACGAAGGCAAACCCTGATCCATCTGTATAAATTTCAATTCCTCCAGCTGAAATATAGTCTTTATCGTAGGATATACTGTAATATTCGCTAGGATGGCTTAAACTCAGATCATGTTCTAAAAAAGCCTCGCTTGTAATGGCTTTATTTTCATACACTGTTTTCTGTTTTATATTATATTTCAGACAAAATTTGTCATAAGTAAATTTAAATTGTAGTGAGAGAGGCGGTACACCAGCCAGTAAGCATTCAACTTATGTCGGGACTGTTCTAAATCGTCTTGTAATTGCAAGTGTCCAGGCCCACTGCAATGAATCTAATTTCTGCCTTGTCTTAACCAGCTTCCCTGCTCGATCATCCTATGCGCCAATACCATACAGAATTATACTCTATTACCATAGAGTATCTATTACCATAGAGTATAATAACATTTTTGTAAATATCCCTTAGGGCTTTTGTCAGAAAGAGGGATCGGAGTAAAAGTATTTTTATAATAATTTTAATTTTTTTCTATCTTTCGTTGTATTGACTTAAAATGCTCCATAAAGTTCAACTTATCATCAATCACTACACTCAGGTATTTAAACATATTCACAAATTTTATTGTTTTTTGATCATATTTCAATCTGGAGGTTCTAAAATTTGTTCCTCCCCAATGAAAAAACATACCATTTGTTTTTTTCAATATTAAATTCTATATTTTGCTCAGTACTCCATTTCTTAAAAATATTTTCAAGCAGGTTAAAAGTAGCCTCTATTTTTCCGAGGGAGTCTCCTGTAATAGTTACCATAATATCATGGGCATAACAGGTAATATTCGTATCAGGTACATTTTCTTGCAGTAATTTATTTGCTATGAGGCTCCAGAACAGGGAAGCACTACTTGAGCCCTGGGGAAAGCCTTTTCCAATTTTATTATGAAAATTAATTGTATTAGAGTTGCCCAGAAAAATTCATTCTCTATTCTCCAGATAACTTTTAATTATATCAAATAGGCCTCTTGAGATGTCAATTTCTTTTAATATAGACAATAGGGAGAACAAGCTAATAGAGTCAAATGCCCCTCGAACATCGAAGGAAAACATATGAGGTGTATTTCTCCTTCCCTTCTGCATGCCTTCGCGTAATAACGGTAAGCACACTGAGCGCGTGTTCGAGAGGTCCAGGTTCGAGTCCCGACGAAAGCATTGCTCATTTTTCACTTCTGCATGAAAATACCTAATAAATCTACAGGAGCGCACGACTAAAAAAGTGGTGAATGATGATTCTTCATCACTAGGATTAGAAGAATGGGTCCCCTAATTTCCATTCGCCCTTTAAAAGGGAAGCATATAAGGTATTTTCTCCCTCCTTTCTGCATGCCTTCGTGGTGTAACGGTAGCTCATTGGGCGCGTATTCGGGAGGTCACTTTTGAGTCCCGGCGAGGGCGTTTCTCATTTTTCCCGCCTCCTGCTTCAAAAATTCCTAATGACTCTACAACATGTTATAATTTTACATTCTGATCTTTTTCAGGATGTTTTTGCTTCTCTTTATGTCGTGTGTGCTTTCCACTCTAGTCAATTAATGTGTTAAGTGCTACTGATAAAAATTATAAATAAATAAATAAATAAACCAGCATTCTGGGGCAAAAAAGTAAATATTTTTAATACAAATGAGAGCATGTAATAGAATATGAGAGAAAACCGTGTCTAAAGTAATTTTTTAATTAAATAAAATGTTCCTAGTCGTCTGATTCATCTGATCGACCCACAATGGCCTATCTAAACGGGACCAATGCTTTACTCAAAATCGTATATATCCAACACTTGCAGAAATCTCACACGTCGTTCGTTGCTTAGCAACGAGAAAAAATTAAACCTCGTTTGTTTGGTCAGTCATAGAGTGGTCGCACGCCGTCACGTGACGAGCTTCAAGTTAGACCGGTTAGCAGTCAAAGGGTTAATGTGAATATTTCATTTTTGCCTTTAAGGGGAAATAACGGAAGAAGGGGTGTTCTTCATACTCCTGCTTCCGTTATTTCCCCTTAATCTATCTGAATGTCATAATGTGATTTTAGCATAATTTTATCAAAATCTCATCAACTCGAATTTTCTGTTGTTTTGATCTTTTTTCTAGTACTTCGATTTCAGTTTAGCGAAGTTGGATAAAGTTGTATCTAAACTATCTTGCATTAAAAATTTCAATTAAAATTTTAAGAAAATTGTTAAGGGACTTTTCTGCTTTCAGGAATTTGAAACGTGCAGAATCAACTGGTTTGTCGCCAAGATTTTAATCAGCAATCTACCACTAGCTAACAGGAATGCTACCCACTTAACCACGAAAACGAAAACTCGAACGGTGGATTCCGAGGATCCCTAACAAAGTAAGATAAACGTTTGCAGCAGCTTACTTCTAGAAGAAAATTTTAAAAAGGTGTGACTATTATGGCAATGTAACCCCTGTCTCTCTTGTATAATGCTGACAAAGTCTAGCTGCAGGTAACTGTAAATATTTCCCTAGAATTTTTATTCAATTTGGTATAGTTCTAACAAAAATATTGTCAGCATTCATTGAGGAACATCTTAAAGGAGAAATGCCTGACTTTAAAAAACCTGTAACGAGGTGAAACCCCTTGTAATGTGACGTAAAAAAAATTATAACTCACTTAAAACGTTTTCTTAGTGAAATATTTATTTTTAATATCGTAATGGTATTTGTATAAAAAAGAAAACTTGTAGCTTGGACGAACATCCTTTATTTTTTAGCAATTGTTTGAAAGAAGAACGATGTAATTTTTCTAAATTTATTACGGTAGTAGTTTATTATTGGAAATGAGTAATAAGTAATTTTCAAAACACTCTTGAAGGGAAGTTTAGAGAGAAGTATAATTATCATTTATTTTTTAAGAAATTCAGACATTCTTATATGTGTTCTTGTTGTGTACGGTTGACCCATTGCATACAGCCGAAAACATCGAGAACGATAACGTCGCGGAGAAAACAACGCAAGGCAAAAACGTCGTGGTACAAAACATAGTGGGAGAAAAGAAAGCAAAGAGAAAACATCGCAGTTTTAAAACACCGTGGTAAAAATATCGTATTCGAAAAAAAAAAGGATTCAAAAACTTCGCAGTTTAAAACCATCGTCTTCGAAAATATGGTGGTAAAATAAAAAGCACCTACAAATCATCGCAAGGCAATAACATCGCATACGTGCGTTTTTCAGTTTTAAAAGCTGTAAATGCATTTTCTCAAAAAGATTTATAAGCGCAAAAAATGTTAACGACACTTTAAGAATAATCGGAAACAAAGCAAGGTATAATTTTCATCAAACCAATATCAGATTAGCAAACGTGAAAAGAAGTAATTAAATAACTAATTAAGCAATTTTTATAGAGCAGTTGTTTATCTTCCTTTTTCTAGACATTTTTAGGCTGTCTTTTGGATGAAAAATTAGGAGTAAAACTTTATATAAAAGCATTAATTTCATTAATTTATTACTGATCTTTGTTAATTAACAATGCAAATTTAAAATTTTGTTAAGTACTATAAGTTACATTAATTTTCTACTCATTTTCAATTTAAATGCTTAAGTTTCCTTCTTACTTTTTCAGCAAAAATTTATTAGTTCATTCAAAAATATGAAATATAAAAGTAGAAATATCCTTCTTTTCTTCTTGCGCTCTCAAATCATTACGCGAAAATGCATTTACAACTTTTAAAACCTGGAAAACGCGTATGTGCGTTGTTATCGTTATGCAATGATTTGTAGGTACTTTATTTTTACTAGGATATTTTTGATGACGATGTTTTTTAACTGTGAAGTTTTTGAGCCGGTTTAATTTCGACGACGGTATTTTGTACCACGATGTTTTAGAAATGCGATGTTTTATCTTTGCTTTCTTTTCTCCCACGATGTTTTGTACCGCAACGTTTACGCCTTGTGCTGTTTTCTCCGCGATGTTTTCGACGGACACCGACTCATTGATCAAACCGGATAAAGATCCGTGCTTAACCTCGGAAAAAGCACACAGTTCTTTAGAAAGAACTCTCCTCCTGAACTCTCCTCGCTGTTATTGCTACGTTAATTCTCTTACTGATAATGAGAAAATGTTGTCATATTTCGTTAAATTTAAATCATCGTGACGTCTTACGTATACATATTAACCTGAAGTATCAAATTTTTTGTTTCCTGTTTTGGCAACAAAACGAATTTTTACGAATTGGTAGTTGCTTGGAAAGAATGAATTGATTTCATTCATATTGAAATAATTTTATATATTTTCATTTCAGATACACCTAGAACATATATTTCATTTCAGGTATATTTTCATTTCAAAACAGTGGCTTGCGCGGCAACCTACCAATTTTCATTCAGAATTTCTTGAACACTAGAACTTTTCAAGTAAGGATTGGCTCTGTTTTGTCGGATGTTTTTGAACAGGAAGAGGGTGTGCCTCAAGGCTGTATGCTTAGTGTAACCCTGTTCAGTTTACAAATAAACTCTGTATTAAAAGAACTTCCTCCCACCATCTTGGGATCTCTATATGTTGGTGATCTACAGATTAGCTGTCGAGGGGCAGACATGAGATACGTAGAGACCCAATTGCAGATGGCTCTGAATAAGATCCAAGAATGTTCAAACAAACAGGGATTTATTTTTCCAAACAAAAAGACTTTGTGCGTGCACTTTTGTAGGAAGCGAGGTCTCCATATTGAGCCTGAGTTATATCTGAACGGTACAATTATTCCAGTTGCGCCTGAAGTAAAATTTTTAGGAGTGACGTTCGACTGAAAATTGACTTTCTTTTCTCATGTTTTAAACCTGAGAAAAAAGTGTTTAAAAACGCTATATATTTTAAAAGTGTTGGCGAACACCTCCTGGGGTGCAGAGCGTGACTCCGTGCTTCGCATTTACAGAGCGCTTATCCGCTCTAACTGGACTATGGCTCAGTTGTTTACGGATCCGCTCGGTCATCAGTATTGCTAAAACTAGATCCTGTTTACCATCAAGCTTTGCGGATTTGTTCAGGAGCTTTCAGGACTTCTCCTGTCCAGAGCCTGTATGTTAACTGTAACGACCATCAGTTTATCTGAGGCGTGAGCAATTGTCCCCTTTTGCAATATTTTAATATTCTATCGCAACCTGAACATCTTAATAATCTGTGCTTGATTGATGATTTGTGTAACATTTTATTTGAAACACGTCCCTCCTGTGTGCCTACCATGGAGGTAGGAAAGGGAGGAGGGGCCATTCCGCGCTAGAAGTGAAGCACTGCTTTGAAGCTTGGGTCACCAGATGGGGTGTTATTTGTTTACATTCAGAAGCTCTCTTGACAAGATTCTGATAGTATTTCGACACACGACAGTTCCATAGAAATCGAAAAAGGGACACTCTCGCATGAAAGAAACATTCATAGTGGGATGGATAATAGCAATTTGTATAGTTTACTGACATTTACGCAAAAATCACATCTTGGTTTATTTTTCGATAACTAACAACAGCGATTTGATTATGAATTTGTTTATAAAATTCTAAGCTGTTTGCACTACAAAAATATAGATTTTAAGAAAATTGCTAAAAGAGATCTGCCAAAATTTATTTTCTAGAAGATTTGAAAAGTTTAAAACTTGATGGCTAAATGTAAATATAAAATTATGTATGTTAAAATATTTGTAATTAGGCACATAGGTCAGATTAAGTTTTTATTAAATAGAGTAACGCAGGCAAGGGCTATCTGCCCAAAGAGAGATGCCGTCGTGGAGGAATTTTGAAGAAAAACTGACCTTTGAGTGGGTATTAAAAATAATACTTTTAATTTTCATTCAAATTATATTCATATATATTTTTTATGTAAAACTTTCGGGTGTATGCTAAATTAGTGTAAATTACTTTACACGAAAAATATAGTGAATGCACAGAAATTAAAGATTTGCACATGCCGGAAATGATAAATAGGAAATATGTATGGGTATTTATGCATGTGCTTGCAAAAAGCATGTATCTGCCTTTGACAAAATACTTAAATTTATTAAATTATTTATAAATGTATTTGAAATGAAGAATTTATTCACTTATAAATAACTGTGAAAGTACTGTGAAGAAATATAATGATTAAATGTATCTAATTTATAATTATTATAAATATTATCTAAATATATAATAACCTTAATATTGAATTGTAAACATAAATTGAAATCCTGTTGACAAATACGTTATAAAACTATTTAAGCAAGAATTGTTCGCATTGGAAAGCAATCTGTTAAAAGAAATTGTAAAGCAAATGCTATGAGATGCGCACTTAAGAACGTAATAAAGAGTTTTGGAATATGTATTGTTGAAATGAAGGGTAGAAAAAAAATCTGATAAGTATAATTAAAAGAATTATTCCCTTTACATTTATAATAACTCAGTTACAAGTTTTAAATAATACTTAAAAAAAAAAACTTATTTTATTCCCTTTCAGAAATGTTCAGAGAAAGTCAAATACTATTTAATACCTATTTAATTATTAGGAATTAGCGAAATACTTATTTAAAGTATTTCGCTAATTCCTAATAATTCTCTAATTTAAAATGAACCGAATAGAGCATTAATTATAAATTGACTTACATTTTTCGATTTAAAAGAAGCCAAAAAATCATGTCATATTTAAGAAAGTATTTTAGGAAGAAGCTCTATAAATAGAAAAGAAATAATGCATAATTTTAATATTAATAATGCAATAAACTTTGATCTTAATTTTTGTACTTTAACCGAATAAAATCGAATTACCTTAATTTTTTTTTCTAATGTAATTAACGAAAACTTGTGAAAATATTTTATTCAAATTAAACCATTCTGAGAAAACTGTCCTGTGAAAAGTATAGCATTTAATTCCGTTCAGAATGAAATGTTGTTTAAAAATATGTTGTTTTCACATACTTAGGACTCTGAAGTGTTGTAGGAAAAGAAAATATATACATTTATATGTATATTTGCGACGTAATTACAAAATATTTACACCCGAACGCGTCAAATCCCATAGAACTCAATGGTAAATGACCCAATGTTTTGGTCACCACGTAGGGATCGCCGGTGCTTCAGAGCAGGGTACGGAGAAACTTGTTTAGGGCGACTCCTTCTTACTTCCTACCTCCATGGTGCCTACCTTTCCTTTAAGAGTTCGCCCTGTCATTGAGGAACTTTCCCTCTCTGATATGCGCCGCCAAATAATGAAGAATTTTGAAATTCCACCTTGAGAAAATGCACGTGTTCAGTTTCTTGATGTTTTCAACCATCACGTGAAGCGAAGAACTAACGACATCGTTTACAGATAACTCTTTGATGAGCACAGTCATAAATATAGCAGTTATCTTCCAGTATATAAAGATGGATCCAAGT